TGGCCCTCCTCCCCCCTCGCTTGTCTTTTTTTTTTTTTTTTTTTGAGAGGTTTTTGTTACAGGGCGTGTGTACTCACTAGAAAGACAGAGAGAGAGAGAGAGAGAGAGAAAGCAAGAAATCACTCCCCAGGGGCGATTGGCCATGCCGCAAATCCTTTCTCCTCCATTCTCCTCTCGGGATCTTGGGCACGCACGCACACGCGCCCAGAGTGAGTTTAAGCCACCAGGTCCAGGACTCGAACCGTGGTCGACCACGTGGGAGTCCAGCGACATAGCCATTACGCCAACTGCTGGTCCCGACCCTGCCCCGTCTTGCTGTGTGATCCGGGAGAAGCTAGTTCTCCACTGATTCAAAGTATGCAGTGATTTCTTCCAGGTCTGCTGCTTGGGGGTGGGGAGCGGACGCGGCAAGCACGACAGAGCAGCGTGGTGTGGGGGGGAACACAGGCTGTGATGTCAGGTGGGCATGAAGACATGGCTGCCCTTGCCAAGGTTCCCACAGTGAACGCAAGGACTGCCTGGCACTCTCAGCTTTCAGAAGGTGGGTATTTCCTGGGGACGTCCTGGACAGCAGCAGGCACTGCCCAGTCAAAGGGGCTGCAGATGAGAGGCGGACAAGGGAGTGCGAGCAGGGACTAGAGTCTGGCCCCTGCGCCTAACCTTAGCTCTGCTGCTTGCTACGTCTGACCGAGCAAGGGCCCTCTTTTTTGTTTGTTTGTTTTTTAGTTTTGCTAGAGGGTGCATGTGCTCACCAGAGAGAGAGAGAGAGAGAAAGAGAAAGAGAAGAAAGCACCCCTCATGGGGGGACAATCACACCACAATCCCTTCTCCTCCACCTCTCCCTTCTTTTGGGATTTGGGGCACACATGCATATGCACCCAGCGTATTTCTCAAGCCATCAGTTTTGGGATTTCAACCACGTGGGATCTGCCATTCAAAGCACCAAGCTCTGGAGGAGCCCGGGGCAGGGGCCTTTCTCTCTCTGAGTGTGTTGTCTGAGTTAGGGTTCGGCACAGCGTTTGGGGGTCTCCTTGGAGCATGTTCGACGAGATCATGAATGGAAATTGCTCAGCGCCAAACTTGTCACCAGGGGCTGCTTAGTCCCAGTGGCTGCACTGATCCAGTCACTGTCCCTTCTGCCCTCCGCAGAGTCCCCTCCCACCAGTCCCCGTACCTGAGGACGGCGGGGGGGGGCTCGGAGATAGAAAGCGAGAAATCACCCCCCCAGGGGTGACGACCACGCCGCAATCCCTTCTCCTCTCGAAATCTTGGGCACGCACACACACGCGCCTGGCATGAGTTTAAGCTACCGGTCCAGGACTCGAACCGTGGTCGACCACGTGGGAGTCCAGCGACATAGCCATTACGCCAACTGCTGGTCCCGACCCTGCCCCGTCTTGCTGTGTGATCCGGGAGAAGCTAGTTCTCCACTGATTCAAAGTATGCAGTGATTTCTTCCAGGTCTGCTGCTTGGGGGTGGGGAGCGGACGCGGCAAGCACGACAGAGCAGCGTGGTGTGGGGGGGAACACAGGCTGTGATGTCAGGTGGGCATGAAGACATGGCTGCCCTTGCCAAGGTTCCCACAGTGAACGCAAGGACTGCCTGGCACTCTCAGCTTTCAGAAGGTGGGTATTTCCTGGGGACGTCCTGGACAGCAGCAGGCACTGCCCAGTCAAAGGGGCTGCAGATGAGAGGCGGACAAGGGAGTGCGAGCAGGGACTAGAGTCTGGCCCCTGCGCCTAACCTTAGCTCTGCTGCTTGCTACGTCTGACCGAGCAAGGGCCCTCTTTTTTGTTTGTTTGTTTTTTAGTTTTGCTAGAGGGTGCATGTGCTCACCAGAGAGAGAGAGAGAGAGAAAGAGAAAGAGAAGAAAGCACCCCTCATGGGGGGACAATCACACCACAATCCCTTCTCCTCCACCTCTCCCTTCTTTTGGGATTTGGGGCACACATGCATATGCACCCAGCGTATTTCTCAAGCCATCAGTTTTGGGATTTCAACCACGTGGGATCTGCCATTCAAAGCACCAAGCTCTGGAGGAGCCCGGGGCAGGGGCCTTTCTCTCTCTGAGTGTGTTGTCTGAGTTAGGGTTCGGCACAGCGTTTGGGGGTCTCCTTGGAGCATGTTCGACGAGATCATGAATGGAAATTGCTCAGCGCCAAACTTGTCACCAGGGGCTGCTTAGTCCCAGTGGCTGCACTGATCCAGTCACTGTCCCTTCTGCCCTCCGCAGAGTCCCCTCCCACCAGTCCCCGTACCTGAGGACGGTGGGGAGGAGCTCGGCAGTGTAGATGAAGAACACGGTGACTGTAGCAGCCAGGCTGAACTCTCCAAACACAATCACCAAGACCATCATGGGCTTCGGCTCTGGTCAGACAACAGGGCCCCCATGGGACCAGCAGTTAGCATCATGGCTATGTCGCTGAACTCCCATGTAGCCGACCACGGTTCGAGTCCCGGACCCGGTAGCTTAAAACTCATGCTGGGCACGTGTGCATGCGGAGAATGGAGAAGAAGGGATTGCGGTGTGGCCATCCCTACTGGGGATTTCTCGCTTTCTATCTCTCTGTCTCTCTCTGTCTTTCTGGCAAGCGCACGCGCCCTATAGCAAAAAAAAAAAAAAAAAAACACCTCTCCAAAAAAAGAAAAAAAGAGAACAGGGACCCCTGAATCTGAGGCCATCCTGCCCCTGGGGGTGTGTGGTGGGGGGAACCTGCCCACCGGCCCTCCTCCTCGCCCAGCAGCCCCACCACCTGGCCAGCTGGTGCGCAGACTAAGGCAATCCGTATGAGCGGTGTCACTCTGCCGGAGGCCCAGCAAGGCTGGAGGCTGGCAAGTCTGTAGTGGAGGGTTAGTCAGGGGTCCCACTGGGGGTAGGGGTCCCAGTGGGACCTCAGGCCACCGTCCACCATGCCTTAGCCTGCAGGGTTCTCTGTCCCACACCCTCGCCAGCTCCATCCGCCCCATCCCACTGGCCTGCCCCTCCTTGGGCATTCCCCTGGGTGCCTGGCCTGTGTCCCGTGGGCCAGGACCCCTGCCAAGCACTCTCCTGCCTGGGCTCTGCAAGGCGAGCAGGGGTTGGTGGGTGCTTGGTCCCGGGGCCTGAATGGCTGGGATGGGTCCCGAGATGCCTGGCTTTGGGCAGCTAGACGTGCATACCACGAGCAGAAGACAGCGTCGGAAAGCCTGTCCAGGAAGGTGAGGCTGGGAGCTGGAGCCCCCCTGCTCAGCATCCGGAGCCTGAGCTTGGCAGTGACCCCCCATCAGTATCTGCTGACCCCGCCCCAAACTCAGCCTCTCCTGACTCTGGGTAAAATCAGAGATCTAGGGAACCAGCAGTTAGCATAATGGCTATGTCGCTGGACTCCCACATAGTCGACCGCGGTTCGTGTCCCGGACCCGGTGGCTTAAACCTCACGCCGGGCGCGTGTGCATGCGTGCCCAAGATCCCGAGAGGAGAATGGAGGAGAAGGGATTGCGGCGTGACCATCCCCCCTGGGGGGTGATTTCTCGCTTTCTGTCTCTATGTCTCTCTCTGTCTGTCTGGCGAGCACACGTGCCCTACAGTGAAAATCTCTCCAAAAAAAAAAAAATCAGAGATCTAGTCTTATGTATTGGGGATTCTTCTTCTTGTTTCCCTCGCACATTTGAGAGTTTTAAATATATCTGTTCAGTTCATTATAGACACACTTTTAAAGCCACCAAGCACGCCAGCTGTGTAGTCTAGTGGTTAAGGAAGCTGGACCCCACATGGCCAACCAGCATTTGAATCCTGGCACCAGCAGCTTGAAAAATATGCCAGGTGTGTGTGCGTGTTTGCCCCAAATCTCGACAGGATGGACAAATGGAGGAGGAGGAGGGATTATGGCATGACCCCATAGGGGTGGTTCTGTCTCTCTTTCTTTTCTTTTCTTTTTTATTTTATTTTTTTGGAGACACTTTTGCTATAGGGCGCATGTGCTCACCAGAAAGACAGAGAGAGAGAGAGAGACAGAGAGACAGAGAGAGACAGAGAGACAGAAAGAGAGGAATGACCCCCCAGGGGACATGGCCATGCTGCAATCCCTTCTCCTCCATTCTCCTCTCGGGATCACACACACGCGCCTAGCGTGAATTTAAGTCACCGGGTCTGGGACTTGAACCGCAGTTGACTACATGGGAGTCCAGCAACAAGCCATTACGCCAACTGCTAGTCACTGTTTCTCTTTCTTTCTCTCTTTTTGTCTCTGTCTCTCTGGTAAGCACATGGCAATTAAAAAAAAAAAACACCAAGTAACAGACATTTAATAATGAATATGTTTCCCAATTTTGTTTTACTCAATCCATTCTTCCTCTTGGGAAAAAGGGGTCCAGTCAAGATACATATGATTCCAGCTTCCCAGGGGAGAGACCCTAGACATACCGCCCCCCCTACCCCCAGGCCCAGCACCCCACGCTCATGGTCAACCATTCTTTTTTTTTTTTTTTTTTTTTTTTAGAGAGAGACTTTTCCTAGAGGGCTTGTGCATGCACTGGAGAGACAGAAAGTGAGAAATTACCCCCAAGGGGGGATGGCTACGCCACAATCCTTTCTCTTCCATTCTCCTCTTGGGATTTTGGGCACACATATATCGCCTCTCTGGTGTGAGCTTTTCTTTTTTCTTTTCTTTTCTTTTTTTTTTTTGGAGAGATTTTAACTATAGGGCGCGTGCGCTCAGCAGAAAGACAGAGACAGAGAGACAGAAAACGAGAAATCCCCCCAGGGGAGATGGCCACACCACAATCCCTTCTCCTCCATTCTCCTCTCTAGATCTTGGGCACGCACACACACATGCCTGGTGTGAGTTTAAGCCACCAGGTCTGGGACTCAAACCACTGTCGACTACATGGGAGCCCAGCGACATAGCCATTATGCTAACTGCTGGTTCCATCTGGTGTGAGCTTTAAGCTGCTGGATCCAGGACTTGAACCACAGTTAATTGCGTGGGAGTCCAGAGACATAACCATTATGCCATCTGTTGGTCCCTGGGGTCAGCAATTCTAAGTGCGTGGTCCCTAACACCTCGGCCATGTCAAACTCAAGCTCTCTGGCCTGGAGCACAGTTTTCTAGGGCTCTTTGACACTTTGTTTTTATTTATTTATTTATTTATTTATTTATTTATTTAGGCTCTTTCCTATTTGCTAACAGAGTTCTCTTTTTTTGGAGAGGTTTTTCTATAGAGCGCGTGCGCTTGCCAGAAAGGCAGAGAGAGACAGAGA